AAATATTTTTTTAGTTGAAGATGGACACAATATTTTTATTTCATTTATTTATATGTGGTGCTGAGAATTGAACCCAGTGCCTCACACATGCTAGGCAAGTGCTCTACCACTGAACTGCAGCCCCAGTTCCAAGGATGCGTTTTAGTCGTTTGTAATTACCAGTGCCTGACACTGGCACTTCACAGGATGTAAATCATACTTCTCCTAAAATTCTTACTAATTTTGAGAGGTAGGCATTATTATTTTTATATTCAAAATGAGGAAAATTAGCCTTAAAAAGGTGATCCAATTGCTCAAAGGTCTAGAACATGGAGTGACAGAGCCAAGATATGAATCCACATCTGTCCAAAACCAAAGCCAAGGACTTTATGCCATCTTCTCTGGCAAATTAAAGTTCAAGTGTTCAGCTCTTGTAAGGGCTGGGAGGTGAGGAGGCGGAGGAGCAAGACATGAGTGAAATAAGACTGAGTCGACACTGTTGGAAAGCTACCAGGGGATCATTAAACTATTTGCTTCTACTTTCAGGTTAGACACTCCCCATAATAAAAAATGTAAAACAAACTTCAAAATCTCTTCACCCCCACCCTATCTTCAGCCCTTTTTGAAACATTTAAGAGGTATAATAATTTGATGTCAATTCCATTTTTGCACAAGACAGCTATAAGCAAACTGCATTTGAGTATTTCAGTACTTGTTCAAACTAATATAAAAAAAAAAACTTTCTGCAGCCCCATGCAGTGCCTGTAATCCCAGCTATTGGGGAGGCTGAGGCAGGAGGATCATAAGTTCAAGGACAGCCTGAATTACTAAGTGAGATGTTGTCGCAAAAAAAAAAAAAAAAAAGGACCATAGATGTAGCTTAGTAGTAGATCACTCCTGGGTTCAATCCTAAAAACAAAATAAAGAGACAAAAACACAAAGAATCTTTTTCTTGGATAGACGTTAATAAATTATTACATGTATCTGACAAATAATGACATACCATGATGACTGAATGTTCTCTAGTTATTAAAAATATGAAAGAGCAGTGGTGCACACCTATAATCCCAGAGKCTTGAGAGGCTGAGGCAGACAGAGGTGAAGTTCAAGGCCAGCTGGGAAACTTAGCAAGGTCCTAAGCAACTCAGCAAGACCCTGTCTCTAAATAAAATACAAAAAAGGGCTGGGGATGGGGCTCAGTGGTAAAGCACCCCTCCTCGTACAAACAACAATAAAAAAAAAAAAACTGTGAAAGCTGAGTAGCAGCATGAATATAGGATGTGAGAAAAGAACAGGGAAAAATGGTAAGTGCATTACAGTCATCACCATGTTAAAAATGCTTATGTGAACATAGTCAGGACCAGAAGCAAATATGTGTTAGGGTATTATCCYCGCTATTGCACAGCATAGGAAATGGTAGTACTGAGGATCAGCACGACTTGTCACCCAGCTGGACAACAGCAGAGCTGAGCGCACACCCTCTCACCACAGTAGGCTCATCCACACCTTTCCAGAACACCAGCACTAGCTCCCTTACCGGGAAGTGAAACCAGAAGTTCATGCAGGACTTGGCTGGGGTAACCAATGTGTTYCCAGTGAGTTCAGGTTTCCCTCCTGGGAACAAACCCCGGCTCCTGGTCCTGTGGCCATCGAGCTGCAGAATGTAGGTGAGATTGGCAACCAGGGGACCTGAGAGGGTAAAAGAGGCAGGAGTTAGACTATAGAGGATCCTGAGGTCATAGCTGGGATTCGGGGCGGGTGGGAGAACAGCACTGACCCTGGAACCTGGGGATGAGAGACTTGAGCTGAAAGCAGACTGTGATGTTGACACCTTCCTTCTTCTTGTGACTGGCTGAGTAGGAGCACTCCACTTCGTGCACTGGGATCTCCGCCGGGGAGAAGGATATCACAGTGATAACGTCTACCACAGGCCGGGAGCTGACRGACAGAAAGCCACCAAGTCTCTCAAAGGACTCTTCTTCCCTAAACTGAACTCTATGTCATTGTCACCTCTCAATGATAACAACAATGACCATGACAATTAATTAGGCCACCCTAGTTTGCTTCTGGTAGCCCTGTGACCCATTTTCTATAAAGAAAAGTGAGTTATGTCAGGCTCAGTGGCTCACCCCTGTAATCCCAGCAGCTCGGGAGGCTGAGGCAGGAGGATCACAAGTTCAAAGCCAGCCTCAGCAGATTATTGAGGCCTTAAGCAATTTAGTGAGACATGGTCTCTAAATAAAACATAAAAAGGACTGGGGATGTGGCTCAGTGGCCAAGTGCCCCTGAGTTCAATCTCCAGTACAAAAAAAGTGTGAGTTATAAGAAGAGAAATCACAGCAGCTGAGGATGTAGCTCAGTGGTAAAGTGCTTGCCTACCATGTACAAAGTCCTGGGWTTGATCCCCAGCACTACAAAAATAAAAACAAAATGAAAAGAGAAATCATATTGAGCTACTTCCATGCATATAACTGTCCAATGATGACATGTGATATTTAGAATAAAATTCAGATATTTTACAATCACAGCCATACTTCCTGTATCACCAATCTTATCTCCCTACTCTTATCTCTAACCCTATGTCCCCTGATTCTGGGCTGACCACATTCGAGCCACATCAGTCCACTTTTGCCTCCTAGGGCCCTGACACACCCTGGGCTTTCTACACAGAATGCTCTTAACCTAGATTTTTGCAAGCCCAGTTCTTTCTCACCTTTCAATTCCAGGTTCAAATATCACCTTCTCAGAGAGCCTTATTTGRCCATCCAATCTTCAAGAGGCCTCCTCCACTATTTTCTCCCATAGTGTCCTGTTCATTTCTTTCACTACACTTACCACAATTTGTAATTATCTATTTATTTGTTTACTACTTTTTTGCAATACTGGGGATTGAACCCAGGGCTGCTTTACCACTGGACTACACTCCCAGCATGTTCTATTTTTGGTTTTGAGGCAGGTCTCTCAGTTGCCCAGAGTGACCTCAAACTTGTGTTCCTCCTGCCTCACCCTCCTGAGTTGCTGGGATTATAGGCATGAGATACCACACCTGGCTTGTTTAATTTATCATATCTATCACTACTCAGAAACTCTGGACCCAATGTCAGGCTCATTGTTCAAGACATAGCAGGTGATCAATAAATAGCTACCATCCACACAAAGAGAGGATAAGGCRGAAAATGTCACCACCACTTCAAATGTGAGAAAAGTTAGGTCCCAGAAACCCAGGACACCAGGTCCTGAAGCCATGTCTTTGTCTATCACATGTGTTGCTTCTCTARGAAGTTTTAGATAGACAGGTCTTCCCTAGGAAGTGTCAGATAGGACTGAGTTCAAATCGGTTCTGTTGCTGAACGGCAGCTGTTGACTTGGAGTAAGACGTGAAGCCTCTACAAACAGAACCCAGCCAATCACAGTGGMACATGCCTGTAATTCTGGGGACTTTGGAGGCTGAGGCTAGAGGATCACTAGTTCCAGGCCAGCCTGGGAAATTCAGTGAGACCCTGTCTCAAAATAAAAAGGGATGGGGGCGCTGGGGTTGTAGCTCAATGGTAGAGCACTTGCTTAGCATGTGCAAGACACTGGGTTCAATTCTCAGCACCACATATAAATAGATAAAGGTCCATTGACAACTAAAAGAAAAAAAATTTTTTTTTTTAAAGAGGATGGGGATGTAACTCAGTGGTAGAGTACCCTTGGTCTGTCTGTCTTTCTTTCTTTCTTTCTTTCTTTCTTTCTTTCTTTCTTTCTTTCTTTCTTTCTTTCTTTCTTTTTTTTCGGTATTGGGGTATTGGGGATTGAACCCAAGAGGTACTTTATCACTGAGCTACATCCCCAGCCTTTTTTATTTTTTATTTTAGAGATGGGGTTTCACCAAGTTGGTTAGGGACTTGCTAAATTTGTTAAGGCTGGCTTTAAWCTTGCCATCCTCCTGCCTCAGCCTCTCTAGCTGCTGGGATTATAGATAAGCATGTACCCCTACASCTGGCTGCAACTCTGTGTTCAATTCCTCAGTACAGGGAGAAAAAAATGGAGAACCCATCTCCCAGGGTTGGGGTGAAGACCAAATGGGCCGGTGCTGTCAGGCATTCAGCATAGTGCACAGTTCACTACTCAAAGGATAAGAGCTGAAGTTATCAGAGGGACTCAGGAATCCATCTTACCGCAGCACAATCACCTGGCCCTCAGCCCCCACAGCCACATCTGCCAGGCCATCCCCTCCAAGGTCCTTCACCCCATGAATGGAGCGTCCAAACCAATGAATTCCTGAGAACATCTGGGACCCTGCTATACGCTGTAAGCAAGAAAAAAATTCATGCTAAAATGGGAACAGGGTCTGTAGAGGCAGGCTGGGGATTCAAGGCTTCAAGGTGCCYGGGAACAGAGTTTGATGGGCAAGTCGGTATCTCACCTGACTCGGCCGGGAGCTGAGTCCACTGTTCCTCCCATTGAAGATGTAAACAGCMCCCTGCTCCTCCAGAGGGGCTCCCACAGCCACATCCATCAGCCCATCCCCATTAATGTCAGTCAAGGCAGCAATGGTGGCTCCAAACTGCCCAAGCGGGTAACCAGGATCTCCCTGAAGTTCTGAGACCATTTCAAACTCCAGCTGGAAAGGAACAAGGAAACAAATCGCAACTCCATCACGGCATTGTGAAGAACAGTTTAGTGGAAAACACTAAAGAAATGTGAGATGTGGTCCCTCACAGTCAGAATGATGCTGTCAAACGAATCTGGCCCTTAGTGCCAGCTCCATCTTGTGTTGTCTGTGTGATCTCATGGCTCTGGAAAGTTCCCTGGTCTCCCTGAAATAGCCTCCGATTTATAAAATAAGGCTTGCAGGATCTCAGGAGGTGATGAAATAAGGTCATGTATATAAAACATCTGGCACTGGGCCTTGCACACTGTCTACCCCCAAGTAGTGCTAGCTGTTGTTTATTGTTCTAAAGGTTTGATTTATACATGATCAGACAGGAAAAGCCCTTTGGAATAATTAGGACCCARGTAGGCCTGAGAATCTCTGCCTCTCCACTTCCACCTCGCTCAGGGTTATGATTCTCACCTTTTTTTTCTGGTAGATAAACACCCGGCCACCTCTCTGCTCCCCATAGAACAGGGGGGCTCCAATCAGCAGCAGCTCTGTCTCCCCATCTTGGTTCATGTCGATGCCACATAGCTCCCCACCAAAATAAGAGCCAATCTGTAGGGAGAGGAAGATGTTAAAGGAAGAGCCCATAGGGACAGCAGGAGGTGGCAGGTTACCTCCCCCTGTAGTTGCACCATGTCCATCTTCTTACAAGCTGAGTTTGGGAAAGTTCAGTTTCTTAAACTGTAGAGACACAGGGCTTACCTCAGAGAGTTTTATGATAGGGTCTGCCACACAATAAGGGGATGAGAGTTGAAAGGACATAAAGAACATCATTCATGTCCCTATCCTGAAGATGCCTCTTGGCCCATGCTCACCTGGGTCCCATTTATTTTCTGCACCTGGCTCCAGTGTCCTCTGTCCTTTGATTCTTGAAACAGTAGTACTCTCCCCACATGCTGGTATCGAGGGGCTCCAGCAGCCAGCAGTGATGTGGGCCCCCGGGAGGACAGCCAGGTCACAGTGTAACCTGAGGAGAGAGAATGAGGAGCATGGAAATGCAAAGGAAGCTGGAGTCAGGAAATAACCCCAAGGAAAGGGCAGAAGCTGTTCWCAGAAATTGAACTTGAAGCAAAGATGCATCAAAGTGGCCAGAAGACCTTCTCCTGAAATGAAAAATAAACAAATAAATAAAAATGGGAAAAGTACCAACTTCATAGGGTAATTTTGAGCATGAAATCAGGCCAAGCATATAAAATGCTAGCACTTTGCTAATAACTAAAATAAGAGATAAAGGTGAGTAGCAGAATAAACATTCAATGCTATATATATATATATATATATATATATATATATATGTGTGTGTGTGTGTGTGTGTGTGTGTGTGTGTGTGTGAGAGAGAGAGAGAGAGAGAGAGAGAGAGAGAGAGACTAGTGATGTGCCTGCCTCTTTTTCTTCTTTTTAAAAAAAATGTTACTTGGGATCAAACTCAGGGGCACTCTACCTCTGAGTTACATCTCCAGCTCCATTTTTAAATTTTGTTTTTGAGATAGGATCTTGCTAAATTGCAGATGCTGGTCTTGAACTTGCAATCCTCCTGCCTCAGTCTCCCAAGTCCCTGGAATCATGGGAATTCACCACTGTGCACAATTTGACTGCCTCTTCTTTAGTGAGCAAAGTTGCCAAGGATTTTACAGTATATTGAAAAACAGGAAATCCCCTTGAAAGCAGTAATGTGTCGTGGTTTATAGAACAATCTACTTGAGTTCCCCTACTAGTAATGTGACCCTGAGCAAGTTATTTAAACTGTTGTTGACTCGATTTCTTCATCGAGAAATCATAAAAATACTTTCTTGGCCTTGGGAGGTAGCTCAGTGTGTGTGTGTGTGTGTGTGTGTGTGTGTGTGTGTGTGTCTGTCCCTGCTTTCAATCCCCAGCACCACAAGAAACAAAAAATATAACAAAATAAAAACTCACTTAATAAGTTCTTCTCATCGTGTTGTTGTGAAGATGAAATGACATAAAGTATGTTAACACAGGTAAAGCCTTTAGAACATAATATTTGTTCAGTAAAGACCGTCCAAAAAAAATGAAAGAAAAATAATCACTGCAGGTAACCTGATATAAGATAAATAGCACTAATTTTCTGAGAAAAATTTAATAAGACATTTGTGTTCTGAGACTTTAACAAGGATGGATCCATTTCTAAGCAAAGGGCATGGATGAGAGAGTGTGGAAGAATGTGGTTCTAAATCCCTGAGAAGATCAAACTTGGAAGCAGTCCTATCCCAGGCTCTTGGAGCCAGTTCATACCTTGGGGCAYGCTGACTACATGAAGCAAACAAAACAAAACAACAACAACAAAAAAACTACAACCTCAGAGCCCAGGGATTAAGTCTGAAAATGGCATCACTTAGGTAGACTTGCACATACAGAACTGTGCAGGCCCAGACTTCAACAGCGACACCACGTGGCAGAGATCAGCAGCAGCAATTGTGGATTGAGCAGACTCATTTCCTCTGTTTAGTATGATAATAAWAAAAAAAAATCTTGAAACGGAGTAAAACTCTAGAATTCTTCAACAAATCAAGAAAAGGAATTCTTGTAAAAAGAACAAGTAGTCCTCCTATTAATAAGGCAGGTTGTTTTAAAATAGACCTGGGATTTAATGTTTAGTTACTACTGAATGATGACAGAGAGTCACTGACATTGAAAGAAGTTTCCTATTCGTTTCCTCAGAAGCAGGAGGTACTGCTCACCACAAAAGAGACAGTGGAGAAGCATCAGCTCAGTGAGGAGGCAGAAGGACCAAGATTGTGGTTTTCGTGGGAAGGAAGGGGAAGAAGGGTTTAGGATTGGACAGACTGAGGAATTTTGGTAAGCTCAGGGGATGTAGAGGTATTTTCTAGTGGTCTGGTACCTGACTGAGGCAATTTAGGGCAGGGGAACTTTTGGCTYGGTGTGTGAATTTGGATAAAATAAGTGATTGGTGCTCTGGGCCCTGGATGGCTGGTATGCATATGAAAGTCATGTTCACAGGCAAGAGTTCACTAGCTCTAGGAATTAGCCAGCCCTGGGAGGGGCAGTTCCTTCAGGATTATCCAGGCCCCAAGAAGTCAAAGCACCAAAAAAATCAAGAAAAAAAAAAACAGATAATTAATACACAGGTAAAAGGTGATTAAGGGGGAAATTAAGAGTGTTATAATCATACTTAAACCCTGAGTTTGCTCAAGCTGGTTGCTTAATTGCTTTCACTATTATTTGGAAAGCCAATCTGAGTTACTCTCAGCATCTCAAACAGAAGAACCCATCAAAAAAGAGAAATACTTACCCAAATATCCTGCTCTCACTTCTGGTGTCAATGGTTCATTTCCAACAAATATGTCATCCTGCAAGTCAGCCTTCAGGTCTAGAAAGCCTCCAGCCCAGTCCTTGGCCCCAACTGCCCCCACAACTGCATGGCCCTGCTCAGGGAAGGAGGGGAATCATGTCAGGACCCTCCCTGATCCAACTCCATCCCCACATCCCTCTGTTCATTGCTTCAGGCCACCAAGCACCTTGCTGAGGTCTGCGCTGATCCCACTGGAGGACAGCTCCATGTTGAAGGATGTCAGGTCCTGATGGTTTGTGCCTGAAGGACAAAGTAGAGGAGATCAGGCCGAGACCCAAAGAGCAGTAAAAACAGTGACACTCGGGAGGACTCAGAAGAAGCCCAGCATTCACCTTAGTGCAAAGTAGAAAGCATGAACATCAAAGTGGGACAGATTAGGGAAGTGGCCTGATGCTCTGAGTCAGCTCTCTCTGTACAATGCCAGGAGCCTAGTGACTCTACCTGAGCATGTCTTGGTACAGCTTAAAAAAAAAAAAAAAAATATATATATATATATATATATATATATATATATATATATATATATTTATTTATTATTGGTATTGAACCCAGGGGCACTTTACCACTGAGCTATATCGAAAGCCCTTTTTATTTTTTTTATTTTGAGAAAGGGTCTTACTAAGTTGCTTAGGCTGGCCTTGAATTTTCGATCCTTCTGCCTCATGCTCCTGAGTAGCTGGGATCACAGACCCACTGCTGCTGGATAAAGTCAGCTCTTACTTTGTCTTACTTTGCTCTTACTCAGGCTTCCCCCAGTCAATGATGAACATCCCTAACTCCCTAGGGAATAATGCTAAGAAACCAGAAATCAACCTTGATTCTTCCTTTTCCCCCTGTATCATCTCTAAGAATCACCAAATCGTGATGGTTCTGCCTCAAGATAACACCTCCCCCTCTGAAAAGTCTGTACTGACACCACATGGGTCCAAGCCATATTCATCTTTTGCCTAAATGATGTGCAGTGGTGCATGCCTATAATCCCAATGGCTCAGGAGACTGAGGCAGGAGGATTGCAAGTTCAAAGCCAGCTTCAGCAAAAGTGAGGCACTAAGCAACTCAGTGAGACCCTGCCTCTAAATAAGATACAAAATAGGGCTGGGATGAGGCTCGGGGGTCAAGTGCCCCTGAGTTCAATCCCTGGTACACCCCCCAAAAATTATGTAACACCTTACTGATTTGGTCTCTGACTCTATTCTTTCTGTGTTTCTTTCCACAGAGCAAGCCAGAGTAATCTATTTTTTTTTCAAAAATGTATATCAGACCCTATCTTGATATATGATAAAATCGTGCCATTGCTTGTCACACTGAAATCCAAACTCTTTCTGAGTGGGAAGAGAGAGAGAGAGCACACCTGAGACTCTTTTTATTGAGGAGAAAGTTCCATCCAAATGAGGCAAGGGACTGGGTTTCAGGGTGGTGTAGCCCAATCTCATTGGGTGACACCCACTCCCAGAGCTTCATTCCCCTGCCAAGCGGAGGTGAGATCCACCTGCTTCTGCCAAAGTGGAAACCAGTCTCACACCTCCATAGCTCAAGGCTAAGGGTGCTCAGCTCCTATGTGTCAGCTCCAGACAGTGGACCTTTTTTCTATTCCTCCAACATGCCAAGTCCTTTCGCATCTCCTGGCTTTGTGATTGCTCCTCTTTCTAACTAGAATGCTCTTCACCTACATTCCTCAATTGCCATTTGATTCTCATCCTTCATGTCTCAGCTTGAAAGTCATTTTAGAGTGTATTTTAAACAATTTTAAAAAGTCATCTCAACTATGCCTGTAATGCCAGCAACTCGGGAGGCTGAGGCAGGAGAATTGCAAATCTGAGGCCAACCCCAGCAACTTAGCAAGACCCTGTCTCAAAATAAAAAATAAAAAGGACTGGGAATGTAGCTCAGTAGTTTAATTCCCAGTACCAACAATAAATAAATAAAGTCATCTTGAACAGGCCTTCCTCTGAAGTGGCACCCCCTTTCTTCACTGAAAAGTCTTAACTGGGCCTCTCCAGAAATCTTCACCATGGCTGCCTTTAGGACTGTCAGCAAAAGAGTTCAATGTAGATAAACTTCCTATTTTCGTGTCGCCCTGTTTTATTTGGCCACTGGCTGAGAAAATACCAGCACTCCAGGTGCTGGACACCCCTTACTAGTTTTTCACAAACATATCCAGTAGTTCTTTGTAGAAATGTGCAAACAAGGCTTCTGGCCTGGAGCTGGGCTTCACAGAGAGATGTCTACATTTTTAAGATAAGTTACAAATGGGCTCCATGGTAACAGCTGGCAGGGGAGGAAAGAAAGGGGAAAAGAGGCTCTCCCCTTCTCAGGTGTTGTCCTTGAAGAGTTAACTTGCCCAGAACAGTGAAAGAAAAAGCTGCTTTTATGTGAACTTCTGCAGACTGTGAACTTCTGAGCCCCTCCCCTTACACACTGGGTATAAAATTCTGAAATTCCCTGAATTCGGATTCAGGGGATTGATTGATTACAGCAAAAGCTGTGTCCTCTGAACCTGGCTGCAGCCAAATAAAACTGTTTCCTGCTATCTTCGGTGCCTTGCCTCGTTTGTCCCTACAACATCTCCAAAAGCCAATCCAAAGTGGCAAGTGTTCTACCATAGAGCTCTACCCCAGCCCAGCTTCCTATATATAAGTCTATCTCATTGCTTTTTTTTTTTTTTTTTTGGAAGTACTGGGAATTAAACCCAGGGGCACTTTACTACTGAGCTGCACCCCCAGCCCTATTTTTATTTATTTTTTTATTTTGAAAAAGGGTCTCACTAAGTTACTTGTGGCTTTGCTAAATTGCTGAGGCTGGCCTGGAACTTGTGATCCTCCTGCCTCAGCCTCCCAAACCACTGGAATTACAGGCATGCGCCACCACACCCAGTTTATCCCATTGCTTTATTCATCCTTTATAGAGCAGTTATCACAACCTTTAATGATCTCATTTGTTCAATTGATCACTGTTTTTTCTTTATCCAATGGAAATATGAGTTCTACTTTCAGAAAATCCCTGTCTTAATCACCGAGTCTGGTATATAGCTGTTGCAAGCATGARTCAATAAAATGGAAATAATAACATCAGCCTTACAATGATGCTGAGATAAATATTTAAATATTGTAGCCAAAGGGCCTGTTTCATGTAAATTTTCAAGAAAAATGGCAAATATTATGATCATTCATTCATTAATTGAATAAGTAATTAGCAAAACTAAGTATCTGGCACCAGGGATATCAGTGGTGAGAAAGCAGACACAGCATTTGCCATGACAGGTACCTCAGAGGGCAGTGTCGAAGACAGAAATCCACAAATTTAGAAGCCAACATATGCTACAGGGGCCAAGGCAGGGAGCATGCAGCAGTTACAGTAGCACACAGCACATAACCCACACTTGTGACATCTAATAGGAGGAAGTGAAATCTAAACAAGAGCAGAAGGATGAGCAGGAGCAGGTTAAGATAGACGATGACAACTAGTGATAAGAGCTATGACTTATGCACAAGAAAAAATATAGGGCTGGGAGCTGGGGTGCATGCCTGTAATCCCAGAGACCCAGGAGGCTGAGGTAGGAGGATTGCAACCTCAAAACCAGCCTCATCAAGTTAGTGAGGCCATAAGCAACTTAGTTAGATCCTGTCTCAAAATAAAATATAAAAAAGGTTGGGGATGTGCCTCAGTGGTTAAGCACCCCTAGGTTCAATTCCAGCACCAAATAATAATAATAATAATAATAATAATAATAATAATAATAAATGGAAAAAAGGAGGTACAATCTACAGAGAGCCCACAATGTACTGGGTACATTACTAAATTGAGGTTAGGGGTTGAATTATGTCCTCCAAAAAGATATATTGACATCCTAATCCCCAGTACCTCAGGATGTGAGCTGATTTGGAAATATGGCGTTGATAGAGGTCATCAAGTTAAAATGAGGACATTAGGGTGACCCTAATCCAATATGACCGGTGTTCTTATTAAAAAGGAAATGTGCAGAGATGAAAATTGACATGAAGAGGCACAAGAAAAGGTGGCCATGTGATTGGAATGATGTACCTACAAATGGAGAAATGCCAAGGATTGTAGGCAGACACCAGAAGTGAAATTGTTAAGGAAGGGCTTTCTTCTAGAACCATCAGAAAGAGCATCTCCCTGCTCTTCTGGACTTCAAGCTTCCAGAATATTCAGACAATAAATTTCTGTTGTGTTAAGCCACCTGGATTTTAGTACTTCATTACGGCAACTAAACCTTAGAGCACTGTTAAGACTGGTGTTATTATCCCCCCATTTAACAAACAATAACAAGCCTTGGAGACTGAAGTATCCTGACTGAGGTCACACAGCAGGTAAGAGGTAGAGTGAATTTTTTTTTTTTTTTTTTTTTTTTTGTACAGGAGATTTAACTCAGGGACACTCAACTACTGAGCCACATCCCCAGACCTATTTTGTATTTTGTTTAGATACAGGGTCTCACTGAGTTGCTTAGCGCCTCCCCATTGCTGAGGCTGGCTTTGAATTTGCAACCCTCCTGCCTTAGCCTCCTGAGCTGCTGGAATTACAGCTGTGAGTCACTGCACCCAGCTTTAGGCAGAGTGAATTTTGGATCAAGTCTGCCCAGCTCCATTCTAGCCATCATATTGCATCTTCAAGTGAGCCAGACACCAAGGCTGTGTCCTGGCCTAGGGGACTTCCCCTTTGAAACCATATATCTGGAGGCAGAGTAGTCTTCCTGAGGTAATGCCCTTTTATGACCAGTCCTCCATCTAATTACTGCAATAAGAACTTTCTTTTATTCTAGGCCAAGGAAGAGCATCTGTGGGTTCCTCACACTTTGTTTCTACTAATTTAACCTTTTTTTTTTTTTTTTTTTTGGTACCAGTGATTGAATCCTAAGATACTTAACTATTGAATCACATCCTTAGCACTTTTTTTTTTTTTCCCATTTTGAGATAGGATCTTGCTAAGTTGCTTAGGGCTTCGCTAAATTGCTGTGGCAGGCCTCCAACTTGTGATCCTCCTGCCTCAGCCTCCTGAGCCTCTGGGATTACAGGTGTGTGCCACCATGTCGCACTTTGCCCATCTTAAGTAAGGTGGGGCCTACGCTAGGTGAAAATGAAAGAGTTGACCAAGAGGAGAAAGAATTTAGACGGAAATCCTTCAGGGCTCCCATGACCCCAGATATAGGTCAGATTTGGGCTCCACTTTGAATCAAGCTGAGCTCCCAGAGGAAGATGGAATTTCAGAGAGAACTATCTTATCAGAGCCTGCTCCTAAGTTGCAGGTCTCCTAAATTCCTTCCTGTGGCTGTTAATTGCTTGTTGGTTTAGGAGAGCTCCTAGCACCCTGTAGGATCTCCAGTGCTCTTTATTGTTCAGTGTCTTTTATCTAATGTCCTGGGGAGTTCTTGAATACATCCTCTCAAATTCTCTCCCAGGGACTATCACTCACCCTCTATGTCATAGATCTTCTTTTGCAGCTCAGTGAATAGATCTTTGAGCTTCTCAAATGTGTCCAGAATCTTTACAAACTCCTTTGTGGGGTTTGAGGCAAATTTGTGGAGGCTCTCCTGAGTATTCTTGGTCTTGAAGCGCTTTCCAATCTGCAAGGGAATGTAGAGTGAAGAGCTGGCACCCCCAAACCTCAGACCAAGACTTTGGCCCCAGGGAGAAAAGGAATCAGGTGTCAGGAGTAGAAAAGGAAARGGGAGAGGTAAGAAGCAGATAGAGCCCAGGACCCATACCCCAATGACATAGCGGATGATGTCTTTGGCCTTGTCAATGTTGCCAAAGTCAGTAGCCTCCCCGTCGGTGATGATGATGAGCACTTTGGTGGCATCTGGACGGGCCCCCTTCTCTTTCCGGAACACCTGTGTCCTGTGTCCAGGAGAGGGGGATGTTAGAGATTTCCCACAAACCAGAGCTTGAGGTCTCCCCACTGTTCTGCTCATCAGTTATGCAAAAGCCCTTCTTGAATCTCCCAGGCAGGTACCCAAGCATTCAACATTCTCTTCTAAACCTTGACCTCGTCTTTCCTGCCACCCATTCTCTTTAGACTAGTAATCTTTACACTGCTCTATTCTGGGCAGCCTGGTGGGTGTTCCAGAGTCCACAGGGGAAGTTTTGTGCAGGGTGACTCAGGGCTTCCTACCCTCCATTTCAACCATGTAGCAACCACCCTTTCATCAGCTAAAGACGTTGATCTAGATGATATCCCATGTGACAAAAGAGCTGCACAAAGAAAATTGGGAAGTCACTTTCAAGAGCAAGCTCACACAGCAAGCAGCTCCTCTGCCTTCTTTCCCTACCTCCCCCAGGCTATCTAGAAAGTTCCACCATAGCAGATAACCTAGTGAATTTGGTGACATGTTTCTGTGTCAGTTTTCGCCCTGCACCATCAATATTCATGGAAAGGACCATATTCATCCACTACCCTATTTATGGCACCCAGTACAGCATAGAGGCTCAATGTGTGTGAGATCAAAGAATCAAAGAAAGGAGCCCTGTGTGGTGATACACGCCTGTAATCCCAGCGGCTCAGGAGGCTGAGGCAGGAGGATAGCAAGTTCAAAGTCAGCCTCAGCAACTTAACAGGAACCTAAGCAATTTAGCAAGACTCTGTCTCAAAATGAAAAGTAAAAAGGGCTGGGGATGTAGCTCAGTAAAAACACATCTCTGGGTTCAATCCACAGCCCATTAAATATTTATTTGAGTTGTAGTTGGACACAATATTTYATTTATCTTTATGTGGTGCTGAGGATCGAACCCAGGGCCTTGCACTTGCTAGGCAAGTGCTCTACCGCTGAGCCACAACCCCATCCTTTCAAAGCACATGTTCAAAAAGGAAAAGAAAGAATTGTATATTTGGCAAAGTTCAAAGTTCTGCCACATCCACAGCCTCCTTCTGAACAAGTCAGCTTGCCCACAGCTCCTGCTRCAATAGCAGCTCTTTGTGAACCATTTGACCTGAGGATGCCTGCGCTTCAAGACCTCTGGTTCTATCTTGGATGGAAAATGTTTTTCAACTTTCATCCACATGTCACTTATYTGGATTTCTCAGTAGGCTCATACCGGGCCTTTCTTCTTCTACACTGCTCCCCTCTGTTGGCTTTGAACTTGTGATCCTTCTGTCTCAGCCTCCTGAGCTTCTAGGACTACAGGCACACTTTTCTTTTTATAGGTTAATTATCTCAGGCATTTGTCACAGTTAAAGTGACAGAAAACTGAGTAATACAAAGTTTGTGTACACCTCCTTCATCAAGTCTCTGCTCAGAAGTAACCCCCTCCTTGATCTGCCTATGGAATATTGCTTTATTTTTCTTTKAATAACTTATGTCTTCTACTGTATTATCTAATTTGCTTATTTATCCTGTTTGTGACATTTCTCTCCCCTACTAAAAGGGTAGCTCTAGGAGAGTAGGGATTTTTCTCTGTTTCATTCACTGCTAGTTTCCCAGTATTTAGAACACAGCAAACAATAATCTGTGGTCCAAATTCAACCTGCACCTTGTTTTGTATGGTTTGTATATTTTTAAAGAATTATAAAATCAAGCAAAGAAGAATATTCAACAGAAGCCATATGTAGCCAAAAATGTTTAAAATATTTACTCTCTGGCCCTTTCCAGAGAGTCGTCAGATTCCTGATAGAACACTGCCTGGCACAACGGGGTGAGATTTAAATGAGACAAAACTGTTTATGACAGGGAGGGTGTGGTGGCGCACAACGCTAATCCCAGAASCTTGGGAGGCTAAGGCAGGAGGATCAAAAATTCCAAGGCCAACCTCAGCAAATTAGTGAGGCCCTAAGCAACTTAGTGAGACCTTGTCTAAAAACAAAAAAGGGCTGGATATGTAGCTCAGTGGTCAAACATCCCGGGTTCAACCCCCAGTACCAAAAAAAAAAAAAAAAAAAATGTTTATGACAGACATTTTCATGACTTTCTTTTTGCTCCCACAATTGATCATTTTAGAGGGTCTACTCATTGTATGGTGATCTCTTTCTCTAAGAATTTAGAGACAAACTTTCTAAGACAAATTCCTGCAGAGGCGGGGCTCTAGCATTCATGTTTGTGCCATTTGCTCTGGCACACTACTATAAAGTAGTTCCTGGTCATAGCTGCGTGGAGAATCTCTGCTTTGGACCCAGGAAATCAGGATATGGTAATTTGATTCTCTTTTTTTTTTTTTTTTTTTTTTTTTTTTAGTACTGAGCATTGAGCCCAGGGCCTTACACATGATAGGCAAGCACTCCACACACCAAATAATTTTATTTGGAGACAGGGTCTTGCTAAATTGCCAACGCTGGCCTTGAACTTGACATCCTCTTGACTCACCCTCTCCAGTAGCTGGGATTACAGGTGTGCACCATCTTGTCTGTGTAAGATATGATTATTTATTTTCTGTGCTCTTCTCTCTCCCTCTCTTTTTTCTTTTGTGTCTCCTTGGTGGTATTGGGGATTAAACCCTAGGCAAGTGCTCTATTGCTAAGCTATATCCCTAGCAGATATGGTAGTTTCTAATGTGGGACTTGAGTATATCAAATTTTATGAACAATTCAAGAAATTCTTCAAGGATTCTTTTTTGAATATTTGAGGTTTTTGTTCATATATTGATTTCCAAAGCTGATCCCCATCTAAGATGTGACTCTTCATGACTGTGTGTTTCATAATTATTTTCCAAGTCCTGGTTTTAGTCCCTCATGAGATCTAGAAATACTTCTTATTCCTGTATCCTCTCAAGAATTTTTCTTCGGATTTAGTAAGTACAGAGTAGATTACTGTTACTTATAACCAAAGACTAGACTGGACTAGGACTGGGGTTGTAGCTCAGTGGTAGAGTGCTTGCCTAACACATATGAGGTACCGGGTTCGATTCTCAGCATTACACATAAATAAATAGATAAATAAATAAATAAATAGATAGATAAATAAATAAATAGATAAATAAATAAATAAAGGGTTTTGTGTGTGTGTGTATTTAAAAAAGAAACTGGACTAAAGTTGCTCCGCTAGAATCCCTACAATAAACTGCCCCTTGTTGTACCTATCTATTGAGTTTCCACACCTTGAAAGCTTGCTCCCACAGAACAGATGAATGGACATGTTCTCCCCTCAAAAGGGAACTCACGCGACATAGTTGATGGCACCAAAGGTGTTGGTCAACTCGCGCATGTGTTTCACATGGGCTAATAAAACATCAGGGTCCTTTAGTCTCACATAATCCGAGAAATTAAATTCTGTTTTGTGTCTTGTGGAAAACTGAACGGCAGCAAACTAGGAAAGGAAGGAAGAAATGATATGTAGTTATGTATCCCTTCCCACTTGTCCCCTCTAACCTCTACTTCTTATGCAGGACCTGGGTAACCCAACTCTGCACCTCTGCTTAAAATCATTCTTTTGAAATGAAGCAATAATATGTAAATAAATGCAGACATAAAACAAAATAAACCTCTGCTTTCTTTTGCAGTGTGGTATGATGAACTCTTGTTCTTGGGCCTGACTACCTCATCAGTAGGATGGTTCCTGGTAGCCATATTTCTGTGGAGTGAACCTTGCTAAAGGGGATGTATTAATTAGAGATAGTATAATGATTTAGATGTAAAGTGTCCCCAAAAGCTTATGTGTGAGATAATGAAATAGTGTTTAGAGGTGAAATGTTGGMTTATGAGAGCCTTAACCCAATCAGTGAATCAATCCCCTGGTAGGGATTAACCGAGGGGTGACTATAGGCAGGTGTGCCTTTGAGTTTTAAATATTGTTCTTGTTGATCAGAGCTCTTTCTCTGCTTCCTGGGTACCAGGTCCTGAGCTGCTTTCCTCCACAACACCCTTCTGCCATGATGTTAGGTCTCATCTAAGACACTGAGGAATGGAGTTGGCCATCTGTGGACTGAGACCTCTGAAACTGTGATCCCCAAATAATCTTTTCTTTCCCAAAGCTGACTAAAACATATGGCCACCGAACTGACTCTAGGCCAGTCAGAATCTCTTCTCTGAAAATTTAGAATTTTCAGAGTGAGCAGTTGGTTGAGAGGAACTTTAACATGTGACTTGGGAGCTTTCCACAGGCCCATTGGCTCACGTGATCCAAAAAAAGTTAGTTTATGGACACAGCAAGAAAGAAAAGAGGGAAGCTAGAATACAGAAAGAAACAGGAATGAAAATTAGGGCCTGGGTTGTGGTTCAGTGGTAGAGCCTAGCATGTGTGAGGCACCAGGTTCTATTCTCAGCACTGCATATAAATAAATAAAAAATAAAGGTTCATTGACAACTAAAAACTTAAAAAGGAAAAGAAAAAATTAGACAGAATACTAGAAGCTTTCTACTCCTGGGTTCTTGTGCTTTCCAGAGGCTAGTTATAGCCATGCCCATAGGCTAGAGAGAGAGAACTCATACCAAATTTTCCTTTAATGACTTAGCTGGGTCAGGTAGGCATCCACTGCCTATAACCAAGAATTCTAACCAGCATATTTACCTGGTAGGAAGAGTTGCTGAGTTTCCTCATCACATCCTTCATGAATTCCACAATTTTCTGAAATTCATCTGGCTGCAAACTCCCTGAGCCATCAAATAGGAACACCAGGTCTACATTCCCTTTTATACATTCTGCAGAGGCCAGATGGAAAGGGGTCTGTTGAAGTATCTCCAGCATTGGGGCCACCATGCCAGTTTCCACGGAGGGGCAGCTACTTAGAGATATTTTTTTACCCAATGGGTCCCCAGTTCATTTACCCTGATAACCAGGATGCCCTTGTAGCACAGGTTCCCCTAGACTTGGGGGAAAGAGGTAACATAGGCCACTCAGATAGGAATTCTGGTCACATGTCCGAGACAACCCAGGGTCACAGGCCTGAAGGAAACAAAAGCAAAAGGGTTGGGGTTTCCTCTTGCTATGTATCTTTTAGGTTTCATCACGATGAATAAGAGCCTACAGAATCCTGTACACCTCCCTCACTCTCTACATCCAAATAGTTACTCCAAAGCAAAGGAATTCTCCCTCTGCAAGTTCTCTCATGTCCATCTCTCCATTCCTATAACTAATACTCTATGCCAGTGGATAGTCACCACCTATGAAATAAAGTCTAAAAGCTTTAGTTTGGCATTCACGCTATGTACAGTTGGGCACATTTCCAGGCACATTCCTTCCCATGCCCAATCACACATTCTGTGTAAGCCCAAATCACAAACTCACTACTCCCAGAATATACAATACTGCCTCTTTTGTTTATGACTATCTTTCCTGCCAGACTGACATTTTCAGACAGGGCTTGGATCAGATATCAAGGTCAACTTTCTATTCACTTTCCTTTCCCCTTTAGAACCCAGCACAATGCCTGATACATAATAGCAGCTCAGTAAACTAGCTACAGTTAAATAATGAATCAGTATGTCACCAGTCTATCTAGCTCTCACACAGCCATGTCAGAAGGATGTTGCAAAGGAAAAACCAGAAAGAACAATAGAATTGAAATCAGTTGAGAATTTGATTGATCTTAGCTCTACTACTTTGCAGCCATGTGATCTCAGGTAAATTTCTTAATTCTTTGGGTTCTCTTTCCTCACATAAAAAATATATATACATATACTGATCCTTATCTCATTCCAAAGTCTTGAGGGTTAAAAGAAATGAAGCAATGCTTCCCAACCTTTAGGCATTTGTATAACACTTTATGATTTCTAACATTTGGCATACTTATTTATTGCTTTCTTTTAAACTTACAATTTTTTTAAACTTTAGCTTCCTCCTCTATATTTATTTATTTATTTGGTACCAAGGATTGAACCCGAGCATTTAGCCACTAAGACAAACTTATTTAAAAATTTCCAATCCTATTAAAAAAAATTTTTTTTTTTTTGGTTACCAGGGATTAAACCCAGTGGCACTCAACCACTGAGCCACATCCCCAGCTGGTTTTTGTATTGTATTTATAAACAGGGTCTCACTGAGTTGCTTAGGGCCTCACTTAATTGCTGAGGCTGGCTTTGAACTTGTGATTCTCCTGCCTCAGCCTCTAGAGCCACTGGGATTACAGACGAGCCCAGTTTATATATTTCTAATAAGCAATTGAAATACATGTAACTGGGCTGGGGATGTAGCTCAAGCGGTAGCGCACTTGCCTGGCATGTGTGGAGCGCTGGGTTCGATCCTCAGCACCACATAAAAATAAAATAAAGATGTTGTGTCCACCGAAAACTAAAAAATAAATATTAAAATTCTCTCTCTCTCTCTCTCTCTCTCTCTCTCTCTCTTAAAAAAAAAAAGTAGGCATACCACTAAAGGTCATATTATATATCAATAGGCATAGATATTTCATCTTTGTAAAAGTAACTGAAGTAAATAGGTTCTTGGAAATAACTGATTTATAACTGGTTCTCGATAAATACGCATAGGATCTGAATCTCTGATGCCTTTAACATTTTATGGAATCTTTCATCCATTTTCTTTCCCCCTCTTTTCAATCTCTCTCTCTTCTAACATATTCTCTGAGATCACCACTATACAAAATTCTTACCAAAAGGCTTCCACCTGAGGGGTCTGTCACCAAGGTCATTCCCAAGTACTTGGAGGTATAGTTGGAACCTGTAAGCACCAGAAGGTTGGTGTGAAGGAACTCAGGCAATCCAGATGTGTTGGGGCCAGCCTCAGTTTCCCTAAGATCCCATTCTTCCCTGCTCCCTTACCAGCTACTCACCTCTCAGGCTGACTGGCTCGCAGTGTCCACTGCTCGTCTGGCACTGATAGAGGCTTCCTGTGCTGTTCCCCTCACCTGGAGCTCCCACAATAACCCTGGTGAGAAATATCATTTGTGAGATGGAGCTGTCCAGGTCTTTACCCACCCACTCCTGCCTATTAAGCAGGATCAGATCCCACTATTATCTCAAAGCCATGTGACCACACCCCTCTGGGGACACTCCTCAGCTCCCACCTCTTCTCTCCTGAATCCCAGAGAAATAATTCCTCACGCATGAATGCTAGAAGATCAGATCCTTTCCATTTACAGTCTAGAAAACTTGAGGCCCAGAGAATGATCTCCCAGAGTGTCACTCATTCAGCCATCCATTCAAAAGTCATTAATGGCTTACCTACTGTGTGCTAGGCTGGAGAATGTACTAGAAAGAGGGGGAGGGACAAAATCTCTGCCTTCAAGGAGTTCACTGTGTAGTCAGAGAGAGTCAAAAGCCCAGGATGGGATGCAAAGTGTTTTAAGGACTGTAATGTCTCCCCTGTTAGGTACTTAGGTGGAGCCTTAATGATTGTCCCCTTCCTACTATTTGATAGCCTTGCTCCTGTCTCCAGAGAACGCCTTCAGAAAGGAGACCTGCCTTGTTTCATTGACTGGCCGGCAGGAGGTAGGTGAAGCATCCCCCAGAGGCAGGGGCAGTCTCTTGGGGGGCACAGAAGCACCTGGTCTTGTGTACTGTGCCAGGCAGGGAGGATTTGGCAGGGGTGGGGGGGATATCAGCTCACCCATTTCCAACCTGTAGGACGCGGTACCCAAAGTGCCTCCCGGCGTGTGGGGTGGAAAAGTGCTGCACATTCTGCACGTCCAGGTTGTAGCTGGAGGCCGGAGCTAAGGGAGGCAAGGGTGCTCAGTTGCTTCTGACCGGGCCTCCCACAATGTCCCCCACACATCAAGAGCCTAGGAACTGACTGGCCACTGATCATACTTCTGGTCCCCAAAACTCGGCCCACCTTCCCCAGGCCACCAATATCCAGACAGAACTAGACAATGTTCTTGGATTTTCCCTCAAAGTCCTTGACTCTGGGGAACAGGAAAGCAGCACACTCTGCCACCCAGAGTTCTGGTAGTTCTTCCCAAGGCGTGAGAAGGACACCACTTCCCTTTTGGCCTGTCAGCAAAGAAGGAAAAATGAAGAGGTTGAGGCCCGTGAGAGAGGAGCAGGTCAAAAGGGGCCCCAAGGTACAGGGGTGCCTAGGCTTCTAGGCAGGAACCAAGATGGGGATTTCCCAAAGCAGGCTGTGCCTCCTCACACACCCACTTCTCCCATGATCAGGGGCCCCAGGTACCCAAGAAAGACCAGCCTCGGGAACTCAACATCTTCTGAATCCTCATCTCAAGCTCCCCAACCCCACCAGAGATGGGTCTCTTCCTGAAATGCTCTGTCTCAGATTCCCCCCCAGCCCATCTCCCCTATCAGGCAACTTGGCATCATCTGCAAACCAAATGGTTCTTTCCCACCCTGTTTTCCTTACGGGCATCAGAACTAGTTCACAGCATCCTGGGATGTCAGGGAGGCTAGTACCTTTGTTTGTTTAGATGAAGGGATAGAGACCCACCAAGGAAAAGGATTTGCCCGAAGACCAGGCATAGCAACTGAATTCCACCGTCTCCTTTAACCCCACATGCCCTTTCTAAGGCTGCACTCTCCTCCTCTCTCACTGGGCTGCCTTTGTCACCTCTCTCTGTCTTTGTCTCCATATTTTGCTCCTACTTTGGGCTTTGGCCTTATTTCTCTTTCTTTCCCCCTCTCACCCTCTCAGATTCCTGGGTCCCACGTTACCTATGGCCAATCCCACCCTTAGAGCAACTCCTCTTTCCCCCCCTTCCACAAACTCTTTCAGTTTCCCTGGTCACAGACACATGTCCCTTCCCCCATCCCTCCCTACTTTCCTACCAAAGAAAAAGGGTCCAGACAGCAGCAGCCTCATTAGGATGATGCAGGAATTCTTCATCTTTCCCATGTTGGAGGGACCCCCCCCAGGTCCAGGCTCAGTCTCCGAAGGCTCTTGGGATTTGCTGACAACCTCCACGGGGTGAAAGAGGGAAATGATAATGCCTAAGGGGCCTCTTGCAGTGGAACTTTCTCACAGAGGCACCAGGCTGGTGACACTGGGTGGGAGGAGGGTGAGAGGGGGTGCCTTAGGGGTTGTGAAACCTCATAGGTTCAGAGAGGAAGTGTAAGCGGGTTAGAGACATTTCCTGTGCCTACTTGCATTTTCACATCATCCAAAAGCAGACAGCAGAGTGGTTCGGTTGAACAGCTGCATCATAGTCTCTCACCAGCCACCAACTGAAGACTCTTCAAAAAGCTCAGCAGAGGACTGGTCAAACAAACTGTGGTACAACCGTTTGTGACGGAATGCAGTGTCGCCATGAAAAAGAATGGGGGCGGAAAAGATAAATGAAGAGAGAAATTTGAGGTCGTTTTCTTCTCGACATTGGAAGATGTTCATGATGCACAAGTTCATGATAGCACAAGTTGCAGAGTGGAGTATTTAGTAATTACTTTTGGTCCTAAAAAGCAAAAAATAAAATCCAGAGATTGGGAGAAAATATTTTCCAATCACATATCATGTATCATATCTGATAAGGCACTTGTATCCAGAACATATGATTCACAACTTAACAATAGACAAATAATCTATTTTTATTTAATTAAATTAATTGATTGGTTGGCTTTTTGTGGCGTTGGAGATTGAATTGAAGGTCTTACATGTTGGGCAATTACGTTATCACTGAGCTACACCTCCAGCCCTTGTTATTCATTCTCCAAATAACCAATTTTTTTTTAAATGAGCAAAGGTTTTGAATGGGTATTTCTTTAAAGATGAAATATAAAAGGCCAAGAAGCACACGAAAATATACTTAGCATCATTAGTCATTAAAGAAATGCAAATCAGGTACTGGGGTTGTAGCTCAGTGGTAGAGCATTCACCTAGTATCTTCGAGGCCCTGGGTTCAGTCCTCAGTACCACATAAAAATAAACACATTCTGTCCATCTATAACTACAAAAAAAAGTATTTAAAAAAAATGAAAATCAAAGCCACATAAGATACCACTTCACACCAACCAAGATGACTAGAATTTTTAAAAAAGGAAAGAAAGGAAGGAGGAAGATAACTGTTGGTGAGGCCAAAATTGGAACCCTGGAACACTGCCAATGGGAATGTAAAATGATACACCTGCTATGGAAAACAATGTGACAGTTCTTCAAAAGAGTTAAAGATAAACCTGGTGCAGCTATTCTGGAGGCTGAGGCAGGAGAATTGCCAAGTTTGAGGCCAGCCTTAGCAGTTTAGCAAGACCTATTTCAAAATAAAATACAAAAGTCTGGGGCTGTAGCTCAGTGATAGCCCCTGGGTTCAATTCCTAGTACCACTAAAATATAAAATAAAATAAAATAGAAAGGGCTGTGGCTGTATGTAGCTCAGTGGTAGAGTGCTCCTGGGTTCAATCCTCAGCAACATAAAATGAACAAAAATAGAGTTACCACATGACACAGAAATTCTTCTCCTAGGTATGTATCCCCCMAAATTGAAAACTGAGCTGGGTGTGGTGACTCACACTTGTAATCCCATTGAGAGGGATTACAAATCTAGCCTCAGCAATTTAGTGAGGCCCTAAGCAATTTAGACCTTGTCTCAAATAAAAAAAAAAATTAAAGAGATGGGGATCTAGCTAGGGAGTAAAGCATTCCTGGGTTCAATCCCCAGTACCACACACACAAAAAAGGGCACACTTTTTTAAAAAAATATTTTTTAATTGTAGTTGGACACAATACCTTTATTTTTTTATTTGTTTTTGTTTTTATTTTTTTATGTGGTGCTGAGGATCAAACCCAGCACCTCCCACATGCTAGGCGAGTGTTCTACCGCTGAGCTACAATCTCAGCCCCCCAAAAGGAACATGTTTATACAAAAACTTATACACAAATTATTCATAGCAGCCTTATCCATAGCAGTCAAAATTTGGAAATAATCCTCATGTGCCACAATTAATGAATGAATAAACAAAATATAATATATCCATATAATGTAACATTATTTACCCATAAAATTGAATGCAATACTGCACATGCTACAATATGGATAAATCATAAAAACAGGCTAAGTAAAAGAAGCCAAGCACAAAAAATCCCATAGTATATGATTTCATCTAAGAGAAAGATCCAGAATAGGGAAATCCATAGAGACAGAAAGTAGATTAGTGGTAGCCAGGGATGGGGGACAATAGAGAATGGAGGGTTGACTGTTAATGGATATAGGATTTCTTTTTTGAGGTGATAAAATACTCTGGAATTAGATAGTGGGGATGATTGTACAAGTTCATGAACGTATTAAAAACTACTGAATAGGGCCAAGGATGTGGCTCAGTGGTAGAAACTGGCTTAGCATAGAGATAGCCCTGGGTTCCAACCCTAGCCCCACAAAACAAAACAAAACAAAACAAAACAAAACAAACCACTAAATTGTGCAATTTGAATTTTTTTTTCTTTTTCTTTTTCTGTACTGGGGATGGAACTCAGGGCCTCACGCATACTAAGCAACTGCTCTGCCTCCATGCTACACACCCAGCACTTCTTATTTTTTATTTTTGAGACAGAATCTTACTAAATTGCCCACTCTGGTCTGGAGCTTATGATCTTCCCACCTCAACCTCTGAGTCACAGGGATTACAGGTATGCATTCCTGTGCCTGAGTGGAAATGAAGATTTTTATATGTGAATTATATTTTAATAAGTAATAATAATAATGAAGCTGTATGTGTATGTATTTTAAAAATCTAAAATGATATACAACCAAACTCTAAATAGTGGTTGTTTCTACAGAATGAGGTTTATTTTATGCATATCTGTGTGTGTGTGTGTATGAATTGAACATAGGGCCTTGTGCATGCCAGGCCGGGGCTCGAACACTGAGCTACAGCCCCAGTCCTTTTTAAATTTTTATTTTKGGACAGGTTCTCACTAAATTGTCCAGGCTGGGCTTGAATTTGTAATCCTCTTGCCTGAACTTCCTACGTAGCTGGAATCTTAGGTGTTCACTACCACCAGGGTTTATACATTTTTACATCATCTGAATTGTTTCTTAAATGAGGATGTATAGCTTTACATTCTTAAAAAAAGCACAAAAATATTAAAAACACAACAGAATAACAGGAACTATATATGTTATTGGGCAAATGGGAAGAACTTTCAGTTTCTCCCTGTGCTATGAGGAAATCCTACTCAATCAGCAAGGTTAGTTGCAGGGCCACTGCCCAGGGGAAGGAAGGCAGAAGGAAGGCAGACAGATTATCTGTAATCTCTACTGCCAATTAGTTATGTCATGACAAGTTGCCTCCTGGTAATTAGATGATGTCAAGCTCTTTAAAATTTTTCAGTTAAGATTACGTGATTCAGGCCGGTGCTCACCTATCATCCCAGTGGCTTGAGAGGCTGAGGCAGGAGGATTGCGAGTTCAAAGCCAGCATGAGCAATTTAGCCAGGCCCTAAAAAACTCAGTGAGACACCCTGTTTCGAAATAAAAAAATTAAAAAAGTGCTGGGAATGTGAGTCAGTGGTTAAGGCCTCTGGGTTTAAGCCAAAAAAGATCAGATGATTCAGATTGATTTCTTTCATTTTCTGTATAGCAATTCCTATTTACAGCTAACCAAATTCTATGCTGAAATTTCAGAAAGAATATACATTTTAAAATTCAAACACTGTGGAAGTATGCAGAAAAAAAGGAAAAAAAAAAAACACTTTTTAAAGCCCTTACCCACACCATTCCTAAGTCCCAAGAATAACCATTGTTAACAGTTGGAGCCACACATTCTCCATGAAAACTAAAAAAGGTTCATTTTAATAGTTAACTCTACAGGTTTTACTTGTTTGGGAAAACTGCAATGATCTCACCACAGAACATCTAAACCAAGAATTGATAGTCAACTTAGCCATCCCCAGTGTGAAAATTTTCCTTAAAGCCATCTTTGAAATGCTTGGATTAGGGCTCTGAATTTATAGAAATGTTAAGTGTTTAACTTCAAATGTTTACAAACATTTAAGCAGCAATGAATAAGACAGCTGGGATAAAAGGAATTCAATAAATGATCCATTGCGTGGATCACAATTTAAGTATATGTTATAGCAGGCAAGTGTACTCATTTTTTTTAAATATTTATTTTTTTAGTTGTAGTTGGACTTAATATCTTCATTTATTTATTTTTATGTGGTGCTGAGAATTRAACCCAGAGCCTCGCACGTGCTTAGGCGAGTGCTCCACCACCGAGCCACAACCCTAACCTAAGTGTACTCATTTATAAATTTATCGTAGTTGGTTTCAGATTTTAAAAAAGCAAAAGCCGCTGGGCATGGTGGTACATGCCTGTAATCCCAGCAGCTCGGGAGGCTGAGGCAGGAGGATTGCAAGTTTGAAGCCAGCCTCAATAATTTAGTGAGACCCTAAGCAACTTTGTGAGACCCTGTTTCAAAAAAAAAAAAAAAAAACATAAAAAGGGAGAGAGATGTATCTCAGTGGTTAAACACCCCTGGGTTCAATTCCCAGTACAAAAAGTAAGACTAATACTATTTCAGTCCATTTCAGCTGCTGTAGCAAAATCTTTTGTCTGATGAGGGCTTTTTCTGCTTCAAAAATGGGGCCTTCTTGGGGCTGGGGATGTGGCTCAAGTGGTAGTGCACTCGCCTGGCATGCGTGAGACACTGGGTTCGATCCTCAGCACCACATAAAAATAAATAAGTGAAATAAAGGTATTGTGTCCAATACAATGCTGTTGCCTCCCAAAGGTTGAGCCCCTAAATACTATTGCATTAAGGATTAAGCTTCAACATGAATTTTGGATGGATATAAACATTCAAACCAAAGAGTTCCACCCCCAGGTCCTTTTCACTTCAAAATACATTCATTCCATCCCAATAATCTAAAAAGTCTTAACTTGATTCAACATCAACTTTACAGTCTAACTCTAAAGTCTCATCTAAATGTCATTTAATT